AAGAATTCGGTGAGCGAAGCGATCCGGGCGGTACATGGAGCCTGTTCGCAACCTATCCCGCCCCGATCGCTTCGCTCTCCGAATTCTTCTGTTTCGCACTCGCCGAAAATTTTTTCCGTCCTCGCCGGGAGCCTGTTCGCAGGCTAGACTACCCCTGGTCGGGCTAATTATAGTTACCCAGCACCGCGAAAGTGTCCCCTATATTTTTACAAGGCTATTTTCGAAGTTGCGAGCAAGGCAATCTAGAAATAAATGTATCGTTGCGAAGGCGTTGTGGACGGAATTGCGTAGCGAGTGAACTGACATGGAACTTCAACATGTCTTCTTCGATTATACGGAGAAATTGAGCCGGCAGGGTTAGTTTCAGTGGATTTATTCGCTTCGAGCAGCGGGCACTTCAGAAATCAGGGTGCGGCCTAACTGTCTTTCTTTTAGTAGTGGAAAACCACAGAACGATGACTCGCCGAAATCCCGTTAGATCGGTCTGTGGAGCTGGTAAACAGCAAAGAATACAACACAGCAACAGGGTAAGTAGATTTTAATTTATACACAAAATATGAGAATAATTGACTTTTTAAGCAAAACCGTTGCGCTCCCATACAAACCTTTATAAATTCAACCCTCTGTTTCGCGTAGTCAAACTCGGTCGTTATGTAATAGTATATGCCGTATATGTCACATTTCGCTAAACGTTAGCATAAAAGTACAAAAAATAACCCCTCACATTGTGAGCTTGGGCCGCCCGTGTAGAAACATTCGTGAACGTTTTGGGGAACTCGAAAAAGCTGTGGAAACACATTTCTCGTTCTCCCACTTCCCACTTCCACTCGTGTTTCTATGACTCGATAGAAACACGGTACATGTTTTCTATTTCTAAAGTCATCAGTCAACAGACTGATCATACTATTTATTAAGGCTACAAAAGTTAAGGGTTATAATATTTTTACTAAAAAAAAAAGGTTACTTCTAGTAAATTTCAAACGAATAACAAGGCCATAGCCTTTTGTCAGTTGTCAATAAATCTGACTACAAATGTCAGTTGTCAGTTAAATTTTCGAGCATTTGTCAGTTGTCAGTAATTTTTTTTCGATAGTGGTCAGTTGACCCCATCCAGACCCTCATGGAGGCTGCTGCTTTCGTAAGCACTTATTGTCACGTATTATTATTTACTCCCTAAAACAGGCAGAAAATCCATTATTATCACTTTGTCGGGCATTCTTGCGCATTCTGCGGACTAAAATGGAGAATTCTGCGGACTAAAATGAATTTTAGCCCGCTGAAATAAACCAATGAAAAGTGGGAATCAAACAATCGTACGATGTAAGCAGGCAATCAAAATCGACATTCTTGGTCGTCCGTTTCTTTCAAGAGAAGCTTCTGATGTAAATACCCCGTGTAATACCTCCATGGCCGGTAGCGAAGTGCATGTAAGTTTTGCGGCTTCAAGCCAAACGCACTCAGTTCAACCAATTATGATAATTACGCCAAAGTGTCAGTTTGGCAGTTGTACAATTAATTTCAACACTTACAAATAAGCTTTTTCGAAGCAGCTATTTTAATGTATCGTGTATTTTCATTGAGGGAATATAGAAGCCATTCAACTTGTAAACGCTCGCGTGATTGTTCAGACTGTTTTTGTTGTCATTTTTTTCAGTGTTTATTTTTCGAATGCCCTCTAAAGTGATACTAATAGTAGTCGAGTTTATGTTCTTGGGCATAAATATGTTTTGGAACGGCTCGGGCTTAGACCGGGGCCTAAGACGAGTCTGAGACGGTCCCAAAACATATTTATACCCGCGAACATAAACTCTATTGTTTTATTAAACTATAAGTTATATTTCCAACATAGGTACCCTTATGTATGTGTACGTGTGCTGCAAAAACCGACGAACAAAGCTTAAGGTTTGTTCAATATGAGCGACCTTGCGTGAATAATAGATCGTAATTGCAACTCCACTAATGTTTCATCTCTAAATTACCTTACATCCACGAGCTCACCACAGCCTGAATTCTTTGATTACGTTTCGGGATCAGTTGCCCAACATGTCCTTCGCAGCATGGAAAGATCGCGTGACGATTATTATGACTGCCTGACTGACAATGTTAATTTAATACACGAAACTCAAACATTAGCATATTTTGCAGACGACTCATTACTCTAAACTGAAATCGCTCTGTCACCAGGAAACTTGCAATGATAAAAAATATCACAGTATTCATTCAAGCAGTAATAGACAGAGATTCCTTGTTCACGTACCTATTTCAGACATAAGCCAACAATCTAAAAAGTACCCATGTAATAATTTCTACCAGGTTATTGCACGTCTAGAGATTATATTCCTCAATTCAGAAACCAAAAGCGGAAGTAACTGAATTTGCATGAAAGTTTTATAAATAACTTGTGATTAGCGATAGTAGTGACTCCACTTCATAGCGTAATCATTGTAATTGTTTTGGCTCTGTTGTATAGAAATTGGGCGGTATTTTGAATTTCGATTTCGGTAAATCTGGCCGTGGAAAAGACGCTTCCAGCGGACGTTTGCTTTCATGTTGCTCTTTACCGATTAAGTTACCGATTAAGCGGATCTTGTATTGCCATAGTTAAAGATCTAAAGATCCAAACGCACGCAGTGTGCATTTATCAGTTGATAATTCTCATATGAACTGAAATGTATAACCAACATTGAACAAACCTGAAACAGACCTCCTTGGTGAGTGTTCCTGGTGGCGTAGGTTTCTACAACAAGAGCCGTGTATAAATCACATGACTATGTCATGTAGGACACACGAAATATCCAAAAATGACAGGAATTGAACTAACATGAGGTCTGTATTGGTCGAGTTATTTAATGTAAGTTTATGACCGACCTGTTCGTGAACTCCATACATTTGCAAAGAAAGACTGAGACCTAAATCCCCCAATACAGACGGAATAAAGTGTTTATTATAGCAAACTATAAGAATGTCGAGGAAAAGGTTGTTGTTATTCATCGTGGTAGATGCAATAATAAAGTGTATTATCGTTTGTCTCACGATGTAGTCACTTGAGATGTAGAT